CTTCGTTTTTATGCGTTTTTGCCGCTACAGTGCTGCAACAAACAACAAAAACGTATATCGCGACGAACCTGTGTGTGTGTTTTTGTACTCGTCTGTCCGAGTGTTTCAACTCGCCAAATGTGCAAGCTTTGGAGCTGAAATTTCGCCAGTGTGTTCCTCGGCCTAGTGCCGCAAAAGACCCTGGTGCCAACCTTCACGCACTTCTGGACCCCGCGTGGGGCCACGTGGAAGTATTGGCGGGAAGGATGTTAACCCGGGAGCAAGAAAAGCTAGAAGGCTGAAGCTTCGGAGAATGTCCCCCGTTAACGTATGGCCAACAGTTTTCAAACTCAGCTCCTTAAAATCGCCGAGGCTAATGTACTGGCACGTGAAAATCTTGGCGGGAAAATTGCTAAACCGGGAAAAGGAAAAGCTAGAAGGCTGCATTTTTAGGGTAATGTTGATTATTCACGTATGGCCAAAAGATTTAAAGTTCAGCTTCTTAAAACTGCCTGGAACTCTCGTACGGGCATATAAAAATTTTATCGAGAAAATTGCTAGCTCGGGAATGAGAAAAGCTGGAAGGCTAAAACTTTACGGCAAATGTTCAGTGCTCACGGACAATCAAAAAACTCCAAATTCAGCTCCGTAGCATCGCTCATTTCCCACGTTTGGGCACGTGAAAGTTTTGACGGTAAAATTGCTAACTCGAGGATTAGAAAAGCTGAAGGGCTGGAATTTTAAGGGAATGTTCCTTGCTCATTTGCGACTAAAAAATTTTAAATTCAGCTCTTCCAATGGGGTCTTTTTCGCGTACCAGCAACCTTCCATTTCTCGGGTCACTGAAGTCGGTATCTACAACTGACATGCCACGTAGCTGCACAGTTAACTTCCTGAACTTCAAAGACCAGTATGTCACAAATCCTAGCTACTGTGATTCTTTGCGATCTTGCTACAGCACAAAATAGTACAAAAACGTGAGTTCGCACCAGCTTGCCTGGTGCATTCCAGCCTTGGTTTCTTCTAAATATGGCAGCTGCTGTTTATCATACTTTTATATCAATGATTGTAGTTTGGTGGCGCTATGATTCTACCAATACGAAACTGTGCGGGCGCTAGTGATTTTGCAAGATTTGAGCCCACCGTTAGCCCTTCAGCGTGCAAATTCCATCTGGATATTATTAACTACCAACATCTTGCAAATCAGCACTACCTGTAGCAGCAAAAACGCATACTGTCGAGAGGCTGTATGTGTGTGTGTGTGCTCGGAAAGCGAATTTTGTCA